CGGAATGGGGTTGTCTTATAAAGAGCTCAGGTGATGAGCTCCAACCGGGCAGATCATTACCTGTTATCCTGGGAACTCATACTCAATGAGCTCCACAGGGAGATTATTTGGTGATTCCCCATGGGCATTGCAAGGATTATCACAATACTGTACATTCCTTCAACAGAAGTCAAGGTATGCTCATCACTTTCACCTATCCTTTCCAGAAAATCGAAATTTATTCCAGAACAGATTTTAAAGATCTGGCTGTATTTGTATTATATATTATATATGTATATATTTAAGTCTTGAAAAAGTTGTGGAAGTGGATATGTGCTGTACTTTGAAACTATAAAAAAGTGGTACATCCCACAAAGATTGTTTAACACATTTACCTTGAATCTAGAGGTGACATTGTCTTCAACAGCAGAGTAAAACAGCATCAGCCAGCATTCATAACTTGCTTATTGCTTTACCTATTTCCTTTCCTATTGAAATCAATGAAGAAGAAATATTTTCATACAATGTTAACTGGCTGCTGAACAGGGACCAGTCTGTCATCAGCAACTGCTGCAGATCAATATCGTTCCATTCTTATAGACTGGTAACTGCCAGGATGTTTAGCACCTAGTCTCTCTTTTGGTAGGTCTTCAAGAAGCATGCAGTAGATAGATGATGTGACGTGCAGTTTACCCAGAGTTCAGATATCTTGGCAGACATGAAGCTATGATTTATACCATGGAATGTCTTTTCTGTTACTACCGTTCCTTCAACATAAACAAATAGGCAGACTGAGCGTCGAATGGATCATGCACCTTATAAGGTGAGCTATTGGTATCTAGAACTTCATCTAAGTTTACTTAATGGCTTAGTAACAACAGAAATCAGAACAGTCAGTGTCACAGCCTATCAATCCTCATATGTTCACATTTCCATAAACCTTTCAAGCCACCAAGGTTTTTTTTTGGTTTCAATGGTTTCTGAATGAGCCTATTTAAACTGTGAAGAAAGTACAATTATGAATTATAGAACTGAATTTTGCCAATTGGGTTGACAGGCTGCACAACATGACATCGTCAGGAAATGCATGTCACTGGCACACATGGGCAGCTAGCAAGCCATCTCTCCTCATTTTACAGACAGCAATTGGCGCTGTGAGACAGTAGTACTAACCGCTGAACCACCGTGCTGCCCCTATGGCCAGATGGCAAGGCTGGCAGCTCAGGAGATTAGTACACCTCACTTGATGTGGAATTTTACCAGGATATCAGGGGGGCTTGTAGGTATTGCCTTTCTACCTGTGGTCTGCTTTGTATCTAAAAAAATCCTTTTCCCTCTGTCTGCCACATCAAGGTTGACTACATGTAGCCTGCAGACTCCTCGCCGGAACAGGAACTTGATTCACCACCGTTAACAAAATACCTTATTAGGGCTTTTACATATTTAAACTGGCTGCTCATCTCCCGTGTTGGGCAGCATGTTCAAAACTAGCCCTAGCCCTATTCCCAATGTTGGGGAAGGGGTACAAATCCTTGTGCTTTATCACAATTTTACTGAGCACCCCTACCTCCTTTCCTGCTTCCTGGAAGGTGATAAAATTTTGGTGTCTGTTATGTATATTGACTGGTATACACACAAAGCGACTTAATAGTCCAATGTGTCTGTTTTAGAAGATATTTTGAAACAGGTTACTCCAAATGTATCTCATCATGCAAAATGCAGAAATGTCCATACTTGTCACAATGAAACTGAAATCTGTGCTTTCAGATAAAGAGGATGCTAGATGCATTCATTGTTGAGTTCAGTCTAAGAGGACACCTTAGATCCAGAACTTCTCTGTGTGGGATGCAAGTAAAAACTTAGTCTTGTCAATTTTGAAGAAGAAAACCAAAACATTAACTATGATTTCTCTTCACAGATGCTGCCAGTCCAGACGAGTTTTTCCAGCAATTTCTGATTTTTGGTAGTCTTGTGAGGACTGTGTTAATGTGACAAATTTCACTAACCCTACTTGTGTTGAAGGTGCATCCTGTGGTGTAATTTAATGGTGGCCAATTAAAGTTGACATGTGGGACACAGATACTGGGATTCCAATTCAGGGACCACCCTGGTGGACAGCTGGCAGCTCCTTCGAGAGATGTGGCTGATGCTGACTGTCTAACTGAGGCTGTTTAATCTAAGTCTGCTCATGTCTTGCCCTGCATTTGAAATCTTCCCTTTTCAGCGGTATCCATTGGACTATGTTTTAACTGCAGGATTGAGTACTGGAAGGTTTTCCTTTTCTTTCCCTAGCTGCCAACATGCTTTATCTTGTGCCTTAAGCCATTTCAGCTACCTGTGTATTGAGATATAGATCTAGAATATCTCTAGGCTGTATCTGTCAAGGCTGTTTCATTCCTGATGTACTATAATACACCTTTATTCATATCTGTACATTGCAGGTTACTAAATACAGTTCTGTAATGTGGTGCCTCTTTACTTGATCCTTCTGGTCTGATGTCTTCTCTCCTACTGATGTCAGTCATCAGTTACATCTTCATTATTTTCTTAATTCCGTTATATTAGTGTAGGTTTAGTACTCTGTACGTAATCTTAAGTTGGTAACTGCACCCAAATTCTAATAAAATCTATTTTTGTTTTGTAATGTGTATAAAATACCATTTTCAGCCGCCAAATATTTCTAAAATATCCAACATACAACTTTACGGCTCAGTCAACAACTTCTCTTTTAACTCCTCTTGTTTTCTTCAGGTCAGAGGGGTGGTCATGGGTACCCGCATGGGCCCAGTTATGCCTGTATCTTCATGGGGTATGTGGAACATTCCTTGTTCCAGCCCTATTCCGGCCCCCACCCACAACTCTTTCTCCATTAGATTGATGGTATCATTGGAGCTGCTTTCCCCTCTCGTCCAGAATTGGAAAAGTTCATCGATTTCGCTTCCATTTCCACCTTGCTCTCACTTTCACCTGGTCTATCTCTGACTCCTCCCTTCACTTCCTTCACATCTCTGTTTCCATTTCTGGGGATAGACTAGCCACCAATATCCACTATAAACCCACGGATTCGACAGCTACCTGGACTATACATCCTCACACCCTGCTTCCTGTAAAGATTCCATCCCATTCTCTCAGTTCCTCCATAAGTTCTGAGGAAGGGTCACCAGACCCAAAACGTTAACTCTGATTTTTTTCTTCACAGAAGCTGCCAGACCTGCTGAGCTTTTCCAGCAACTCCTGTTTTTGTTTACCACTCAGTCATTTGTTTATCATCAAGTCACAATACTTTTAAGGTCAAGGTTTTGATAAAGTATTTGGGGAAAATTTTCTGATTTGGGGATTATGAAGCATTATGCGTCACTTTCATCACAGTGAAACTTGAAAAGAGACAATGCTCTGTTTAATTTGACTTATGTCTGTACATTGTGCATTTACAAAGAAATACAAATGGTGCACAGATGCATTCTAATGAAGGTGTTGAATGTGATGCCTGTATCTTTCATCTGTTTTCTTTCAGTTTTGTAACTTGTACAGTGGGAGTTGTTTTTTGAGGAACAGTAAAACCTGCTGGACCCATATGAAGTTCTTGTCAAACAATTGCAGAGCTCAGACAAATGGGATTTTGAATGTTGTGACTGTACAAAAGATTCACTAGGTGTCAGGCTTTCTGAACTATTGTTCTTTCCTATTTTCTCGATAGTTAGTTTGGTAATTATTTCCAACTTTTTTCATTACTGGTTGTTCTATTTAACCAAATTTCTTTAAAAACAATGACATTAATATCTGACTTATCACAGTGGCATTGAAAAATAACACCATTCATTATAAATCTAAAATAACATTTGTAGGCTGCAATATTAAAATGAAAGACTATGTTCCTTCATGAGCTTTAACAATGATTCAAACTAAGTACTAGAAATATGAGAATTTCAAATTCTTCATTAACAGATTGTAAGTGCAAAGTATTTCACTATATGTTATCCAACACAAAAACAACAGAGTTAAGCATGTTTAACAGCACAAGTCATCATGCTGGGTCATGAGTTCTTATGATTGTATCTTTAAAATAACGGACTTTAAGACAGGCAGAAACTGAAAAGGTTTACATCACTGAAATTGTTCAGGCAGTGCACAAATAGGATAGTCCAAAACAATATGATATTATTTATCAACAAATAATGTTTCAAATATTAAATCCAATCTGCTATGAACAGTCATTTGGTGCATTATTTTTGACCATCTGTGTTGCATTAGATTTTAGGGTAGAATAAGTTTTGAATAGCTTTCTGCTGTCACTTTTGAGCTGAAACTTTACCATGAAGCAAAACTTAATTGTAGATTAATGAACATAAATACTAATCAGCCCTCTTCAATGTAGGCATTTTCTCTGGAAATTGAATTGTGTGCTGTCATTTAATGTTCGATAATACTTTTCATGCTACTTAAATGGTATGGTTTAATCAAATGCAGATCTTTGCAGTTGCTCAGTTTAAGACTCAACATCAATTCATCTCCAAGCAAAAAAATAAAAGAACAGCCCACAGATGATAATCTATAAACAGATGTAACAGGAAGTTATTTTAAGATTTTACCTGATAATACTATTTTCATCTTACAGTTAATTTTATGAAGTAATCTACTTGCATTGTTCCAGTGTAGGAAAATTCTTTTTGAAATGATATAAGATGACTACCACAGTCACTAGCAGACTTCTATGATCAGTCACCTTATCGGTAGAATTTTGAAATTTATTATTTCATGTACAGTACAGGATTGAGGATCAGATTATCATTGATTGCTGGAAAATGTGTCACAGTTAAACATTTGTAAAAAAAAATTCCAGAAGTATAACATGTAATTAATTTTCAATCCGTGAAGCCAACAGAGTTTGAGAAATGCAGATGATAATCTCAAACTTGTTATCTAATTTATGCAACTGTATTAAAGACATTTCAGGAGGTTACTTTGGAATGTTCTGCCTTTGGTGAGCATTTTGTGCCTCTCAGTTAAACTATTCTGCTTACCTTTGAAATCTGTAATGGCTGCTTGTGCTCTTTGCCACCTTGCAGTCTAAATCCCCAGGGTGCTCCACCACTGATTGTGACACAGATGTAATCCCCAATGCCCATGGATGTGAATTTGTATAGAGCTTCCTCTCTGTGGAACTGGTGATCTTCTAAGATGGAGCTTGGGTCAGACTGAAACTGCTTTCTAGTTTGTAGATACAGCTCAGTTTGTCTGAGAAAAGGCAGTCACTCAGCACAGTTACCAACCACTTACAGCACCACAGTACAATGTACGTCAGAGGCTGCAGCTCAGCCCCATCAAAAGAAAGTTATCCAAAAAGCTGAGCACACATGAGACACACTGCAACAAATCAGTGACCAGCTCAAGATAAACAAGAGGAGGAAATGTAAGGTTAAAAAAAAAGCAAGCAGCTACTATTTCCAAACTGAAAACAGTTTGCTATTCCAAAACAGAAGGCAGGCAGCCCTGCCCATTCAAAAAGAAACTCCTCCCACCTCTTAAAAAAAAATCAGTTCAGTTGAAACCGTTTGGGAAAGTATCCAGAAAATCACATAGCAAAGAGATACCTGGGAACTTCTGAGATCTTAACAATACATCACGAAGATTGCACAGTAAGCACATAAAAGAGCTGGATACTATTCTGTATTGACTTGAAATTTGAAAAACCTCTATAGCTACTAAAACTATATCGAGAGAGATTATTTAGGACTGTTATTTTTTGAGGAGTTCTTTCCTTCACAACTTACGTAGAATGTCAGGTGAGTCAAATGATCTTTAATGAAAGTAAAATCAAAGCCCCTACCCTCACTGTAAGCACCATTGTGCAATGTGTAGTTTAGTTCTGGTAAAATGCAAGAAAGTCTCTGATGTGTTCTTAGCAGCATAGGGACGTTACAATCAACTTCTGACCCTTTAGGCTAAACAGCAGAAAAAAATAGCCAAATCAGCCTGCTGTTGATTACAATTGAATGATTCATGCTGGAAAGCAAGCATATTTTACATTGGTTAAGAATGTCAGCCCAGGTCTGATACACTCTCAGTCAAATAACCCGATATCTCTCAGTTCTCCACATATTTCAATGAAGAATGATTGGTTGCTTCAGGTACCCGAGGGTAGGTGGCAGCTGTGAAAATGCCTGCTTGCCTGTTTGGTGTGAAGGGAAGAAAAGGCAGAAGATCAGAAGATGCTAATAAAGAACCAGTTGCCACACCTAATTGCCCAAAGGCAGTCAAGAGTCAATCAGATTGCTGTGGGTATGGAGTCACATGTAGGCCGGACCAGGGTAAAGATGGCAGTTCCCTTCCCTTAAAGATATTAGTAAATGAAATGGGAGTTCACCGTAATAATTGACAATGGATTCATTGATTATTAGACCCTTAATTCCAAATTTTTGAATTCAAACTTCACCATCTACCATGGCAGGATTCAAACTCAGGTCCCCAGAACATTATTTCAGAGATAGTAGGAACTGCAGATGCTGGAGAATCTGAGATAACAAGGTGTAGAGTTGGATGAACACAGCAGGCTGAGCAGCATCAGAGGAGCAGGAAAAGAAGGGTCTAGGCCTGAAACGTCAGCTTTTCTGTTCCTCTGATGCTGCTTGGCCTGCTGTGTTCATCCAGCTCTACACCTTGTTATCCCCAGAACATTAAATGGGTCTCTGGAATAATAGCCTAATGATAATACTACTTGGCCATCGCCTCCCCATTGTGGAATTCCAGGAGGAAAACATTGTTGAGGAACTCATTATTCTTGAGAATTGATTCAAATGATAATCATGGGCAATGTTAAATCCTATTACATCTCTTCAGAGGGTGGAAGGTGAAAGCACATTTTTTTTGTGGGATTAATTTTTTTCAGGAACGAGATGGAAGACTCTTCACTGAACCTTGTGATAGAGTAAAATCAACATCCACAACTCCCACTGATTGGGCTGAACATATTTTCCCCATTACAGAGAACACTACAATAGAGAAAAAAAAGGGGAAGAGGCCATTTAGACAGTGATAGCAACCAATACCTTCTCCATATCAACACAAAGAGTAAATACTTTATTTACTGAAATGAAGCAAAGATCCTTAAAAAATTTAAGAAACAAGAGTTGTTAAAGACAGCGCCACAAAGGAGACTTTGTGGGAATGAAATTAAAACCGCAGTAAACAAACACTGCATACATTTTATATTACAAATCTTTAGATGAAGAAAGAACAATTAAACCCAACATGGCATTTTTCCCTGTTACCTTACAATACATTATCAATCTGAGCAGTAGGGTGGGAAGGTATGATTAATGATCAAAGACAACAATTAAGATAGATTTCTTAACAGAACAAGTGACATATTTGACCATCGATCAGAGATTTTTTTTATTCATTTCTTCTTCAATACAGCCTTCATTTTTGTCCTTACTCCTCCTTCTCTGAGGGAAGTTGGATATCTGGCTGCTATCTCACCTAAATGTATGCTAGGTGTGAGCTGAGGGAGTTGAATATTGGTAAATTTTAACTTAACTCTGCCATCATTTAGTATCCACGCACATACTTGCTGCTGGGAGTGAAATGAACTGTAGTACTCCTATGTTACTAAGGTTCATAATTACTGACCCAGCATAGATCAGATAATCAGATTTGTCTGGTTTGCATGGCTCATTGACATCATGTAATGTATTCAAACACTAAATGACTTCAGTTTAATAAGCTTGCTAATCCTAATATTAATACAAGCGGATGGAATCTCAAACTATTTTCAACTTCCTGCTCATTACCTCACTGCTGTTTGTGGGGTCTTGCTGTGCCTATGCACAGATTTTTTTTGCTGCATTTTGCTTTGTTACTAAGGCTACAGCTTTTCACAAAGTATTACATCTACTGTAAAAGTTTAGCAGACATCTTGATGTCATAAAAGGGAATATAATTACAAGTTGAGATAACAAGGTGTAGAGCTGGATGAACACAGCAGGCCAAGCAGC